CGCATGACAGCAGGGCAGCGCGCTAGGGCAGGCAGTGCGAGTAGCTGCAGGGCAGCGTGACACTGTGCGAGAGGGCCGGACAGCGTAAGGGCACTTCGGGCGGGAACTAGCAAAACGATCGGTGGGCCCTAAAAACTTAACAGGTTTCCTGCTCTGATACCATGTCAGAATAACGGTGCATGAATGATTGGATTAGCAAGAGTTGGGGTACAAGTACTAACCCTAGAAGTGCTGTACCCCATAAGGAGTGCCCCACTACAGCCTACAAGTGAGATTGTACTTTGACAAAATTTGCACGCTTTTCATCAATTAACTCCTAGCCAGAGTGAATATAAAACTATTGAAGTGATACATGTTAAAAGAACGAGCAGTCTTAGGAGCCATAGCTAGGTAAGCCCTAGCTAGGCAAGAGAAGTTTAGGCAAAAAGAGAGGGGTTCACTAGCAGCAATGAGGATACATATAGCAAACCCTAGATGGGTTGTACTCGCTATAGAGCACCCCACTACAGGCTAGACAATAACATTCTGACACACCCCCATAGCCAAAGTGGGGTGTAATCAGTACAATGAGCAAGCAGGTATAGAGCAGGAGTTCACAAAGGTAAGCAAAGCTAGAGCTAATCACAGAGGGCAAGTGAGGAGGAGGAGAGACTGTGGGGGAGAGAAGATGGGAGGCGACTGCTGAAGCTGCAGACACACAGGAGCTGCTGGCTCAGTGGCTACCGAAGCAAAGGCCCGGACTACAGGAGTAACTGGCTCCGCGGAGATTGCAGCCTCCAGACCGGAGCAACTGACCCACAGGCGACTGGCGACTACCGGAGATTGTAGCCTCCGGACTGCTGGTGCTGCTGGCGACAAGACTGCTGCCTCCACTCAACCTCCCCCAGCTGCCCCACGCCCCTCTCACACACCCCCTGCTCAAACCCTAGCTCCACTCCCACAGCACCCCCCTTAAACCCTAAACCCCAGACTCCCACACATCCACCCCCCTCAGCGACAGCTGCAGCAGTGGGAGACGAAGGAGGAGGAGGAGAAGGGGACGGCGCGCACAACCGACACCCCCACAACCATCACCCCCACACTCCTCACCCCCAAAACCCTAAAACGGGTGGGATAGGGGCAGGAACGCGGGGGATGGTGAGGGGGGGACAGCGCGCAACCCCCAGGGCGCCAGAACGGACGGGCTGGGCGGGTGGAGGGGGGTGGCGCGCGCTGCTCCCCAGGGCGTCGCGACGGACGGGCGGGGGGGACGCGCGCGCGGCTCTCCAGGGCGCCGCGACGGCCTGACGGGGCGCGCGCGGGCTCCCGAGGGCGCCGCGACGAACTGGCGGGGCGCGCGCGGGCTCCCCAGGACGTCGCGACGAACGGGCGGGGCGCTCGCGGGCTCCCCAGTGCGTCGCGACGGACGGGCGGGGCGCTCGCGGGCTCCCCAGGGCGTCGCGACGGACGGGCGGGGCGCTCGCGGGCTCCCCAGGGCGTCGCGACGTGCAGGGTGGGGGCCGCGCGTGCTCCCCAGGGCGCCGCGACGGACGGGCGGGGCGCGCGCGGGCTCCCCCACGGCAGGAAACCGCCGCGCGCCTCGGGGCGCACGGCGGGCAGAAAACCGCCGCTAGCCCCGAGCGCGCGGCGGGATGAAAAATTGGAGGTCGCGCGCCACGGGGCGCGCGACACAGAGTAGGGCAGCGGAAGCAGCAGTAGGGCCCACAGGCCAGGAGCGTGAGCGCTCTGATACCATGTTAAAAGAACGAGCAGTCTTAGGAGCCATAGCTAGGTAAGCCCTAGCTAGGCAAGAGAAGTTTAGGCAAAAAGAGAGGGGTTCACTAGCAGCAATGAGGATACATATAGCAAACCCTAGATGGGTTGTACTCGCTATAGATCACCCCACTATAGGCTAGAGAATAACATTCTGACAATACAAATGTTAAAAAGGAATACAAAACGATCTAGTTAGCCATGTATTCCAAATGGTACTCTCCCTGATTACATCGAAGTTCAACCGTGTGATGCGGGAACTGTTTCAAACAGGTTCCTGCAATTTCCCATTCAAATGTTTCTACCTGCATCTGTCTTTATATGACAACTGAATCTATCGCTTCGCCTAACTCATCGACTTCGTACTCGATACTGCTTAATCTTATTGGGTACATGAATGCTCTTCACTTAATTTAACATCGCATTAAAATTGACTCTTATCATATTGCCCGACATGCAGACATGGAAGTTAGAAAATAATGAAAATTCACATAAATACTTAAAAATAGTATGTATGTTATAAAATCAGACCATGTGCATTGGAAAAAAAAAAAAGAATTGCTCTGGATGCTCGTCGTTTGAGAAAAATGCGCGAATCCGTGTGTAGGGGAAATCAAGCTGCACCGATTGGTGTAGTTAAACCCATAAATATCATTTAATGCTTGACATTGATTGAGGCTCCCGAAGGGCCAGCTAATACCCTTAGTGAGCTTGTTGATCATGATCATATTGTTTGTGGTGTACCTTGGCCTTCATAATAGTTTGTAGGGTTGGCACATCGTCCACCTCAACTCGTCAACTCCTGGTTCTGTGCCCAATATCGCATCCTCCCTGAAAGCACATTTTGTTCCCGAGTTCCTCAGATTACGTCCATCTACACTGCGCGCCACCACGTAAGCTACATTCATTGGCTTCATTCCATTGGCTCAGACTTCATCAGTTGCTTGCAGCGATAGAATCTGGTTGTGGAATGTACCTGCTGGACTGGGGTTACACCCTCGCCTCGATGATACGGGCGAATTTGAAAAAGATCTGCCAAGGAGCGGGGCTCGACATGACGTCGCAAAGAGAAACTTTCGGGAGTGACACTGGCAGGGAAAAAAAACTGCTACTGAAGTGATCCTGTCGCACTTACCACTAGCGTAGCAAAAATATGTCCAACAACGCCGGTTGGGGCTACGTGAGAGGGTTGCTTGGGAGAGCTGTTCGGAGAAGTCTGCATGCAGCACTCGCAGACTGGAAACAATTGCAACAACGTCGTGTTTCATTGTCGGCAGTGGGGGAAGATCTGCCAAGGGAATTCCTTTTGTGAGGTTGGCTGCATTGAGCGCGCCCCTCCACCAATCAAGGCATACACGTTTGTTATATAACAATTGCCCGTTCGATTCTTCACTCACACAAGACCCGAGACACCGCCCTTGATTGCTTCCTGTTTGAGTGTTTTAAAACAGACAGGGGAAGTTCGCGACGACTCGTCGGATCGCCTTGTCGAGATTCTCTCATGACGGTGTGAATTGTGCTTGGAATTCTCTACTTAGCCTTCCTTACGTGTGGGCGTCTGTCCGTGCATTTTACAAACAAACTGTATGGCACTGGGCTACCGCTTCTCCGCAGCTTCTGTGTGCTCGCCTTCGCGTAGATCTAGTCGCCGCGTGCGCGAATCTTGTGAACATCCGGTAACATGGTAACCGAGATCCGTGGCCTAGAAGGGTGCCTTAGCACGGGACGTCGCTAACGTAGCAAACCGACGCCAATACGGCCAGCGCCAGGCTGGAGTCCTCCGACGGCTCAGATCCGAGTCGGATGCATATGGAGTTCCACACCGGAGCGTCGACGTCCCTTGCCGACAGCAACGGTAGCACCATGCGCCATGGCTTGGTAACGGCAGGTGCCCGCGCTACGAGCTGTAGCAACGCCACAGATCCACCCTCCCTGTCCCGGACCACCAGCACAGCTACACACGCCGCCACCGCAGACAGCAACGCAATCAGCATTGCGGTCAACAGCGGGATAAGCAGCGGTAGTGGCAGCAGTAGCACGACTGTCATTGTCGTGAGCAGCGATGTGCCTCAAATGTCGCTGGTACCCCAGTCAATTGCACCCCTGGGAGGTGCAACAACGACTGCAGCACCGGCCTTGGCCACAACGCCATGGCTTTTCCTCGCGCGCTCCGTGGATTGCCCCACGTGCGCCAGCTGCCAGTGGCTGGTGACGCCGGCAAGCAATCCCAACGTGGGGGAAAGCTCGCCAGCCTTCCCGCTGCTATCATACTTCCCCAGCGTGAGTCCTGGCGTCGCGACGGTGCCCCCCTCATCGCCCTCCCCTCTCTCCTCGCCTTTCCGCCATCCCGACGACCCCCGCCTCAGCCCCTGCCCCAGCTTCAGCCCTCTGCCGAGCCCCACGCCCAGCCTCGGACCGAGCCACAGCTCCCGTCCTAGCTCGGTTTGGAGCCCCAGCCCGAGTCTAAGCCCGAACCTGAGCCCAAAGTCCACGAATAGCACGAGCACGAATAGCACTTTCGGGGGCAGCCTTGGGGGAGGCTTGGGAGGCGGGGGAAGCTGGACGCAGCGCAGGGCGGGGAGAGGGTTACCCGCTGCGCTGGGGGCTCTGTGGCCGCGGAGCAGCAAGGGGAGGAACGCGGGCGCGGGGAAGGGCTGGCTGCCTAGGGGCGGTAGTAGTGGCGGGAGCGGAGCTGCAGTCGCGCGGGGAGAAGCGCCGGGGGCGGAAGCGATGGAGGCGGAGATGGAGGGGCGGGTGGGGGAAGGGCGGGTGCGGGGGGGAAGGATGCGGGAGGGCAGCTTCCATGAGGCGCGGGTGAAGGAGGCGGCATGGGAGTTGGTGGTGGAACGGCTGAGGAAGAGCGAGGGAGCCTTCAGTGGCAGCGGGGGGAGCGGCGGGAGCAGTGAGAAGGATGGGCTGTGGGATGGCGGTAGGATATCTGAGAAGGCAGTGGAGGGGGATCGAGTGGGCGTGGGCGCAGCAGCGGTGAGAGCGGGCCTGGTGGAGTCGTTGCAAGCGCACTTTCACAGCCTCCCGCTCTCGTGAGTCTTCCCCGTTACCACCCCATCGACTGCTACGCACGCACTTGTCCCCTCGCACTTGCCAGTAACCGCAATCCCAAGGCAGCAAACTCAATGCCGTGTTGATTCAATTCTCGCACATGCTCTCATACACTCTCTTCTCCCACCGCCTTTAACCCCACCCATGCTCCACCCGCCCCCACACCCCCCTCTCCCCCCTCTCCGCAGCTATGCGAGTGCGGCGGTGGAGCTGCCCCCCTGGGAGGTGGTGCTCCACAGGGACCTCCTCGCCTCTGCTGCTCGCCTGCCTGCCTGCAAGCCGCCTGTGGTAGTCACGCTGCGCCCGCACCACGGCCCTGCTGCTGCCACTGCCGCTGGCGCTGCTGCTGGATCTGCTCCTCGCAGTGGCAGTGGCAGTGCTTATAGTGAGTGCTGTAGACGTGTCATGGGTAGCGATGCTGCTGGCGGCATCACTAACTGTAGCAGTACAACTGGAGGGTCCAAGGCAGGTGCCGCTGTTGCTGCTCTCGGAACTGACACTGTGGTTATTGATAGATCACCAGGGAGTGGTGACAGTTGCAGTGGAGCGGGTGGTGTGACTGGAAGGGGTGCTGCCAGTAGCAGTGCAGGGTTGGACGGTGATGGTGGCGGTAACGAGGGCGGGCTGTTCTTCTCATGGCAGGGATATGCTGCGCCTGAGTTGGCAGTGAGTAGGGCGGCAGTGAGTGGGGCGGCAGTGAGTGGGGCGGCAGTGAGTGGGGCGGCAGTGAGTGGAGCGGCAGTGAGTGGGGCGGCAGTGAGTGGAGCGGCGTTCATGCCTGGGTCAGGGTCGAAGCAGCAGGTGCAGAGGGCATTGGCCGCAGCGCGAGGCGATCACAGTGCAGAAAGAGGAGGTGGATTCGGGGGTAGTGATGCAGGACCAGGTTGCTTGGGTGTGGAAGCAGGAGATTGGGGTATGGAAGGAGAAGGCAAGGAGGTCGGAGAGAAAGGAGCAGGTGAGGTGAGGGAGGAAGTGACGCGCGGAGGCGGCTGTGCAACAGACAATGTAGGGGATAGTTGTGGACCAGCATCAGTGGCATTGCCCAGACGAGACTCGTCCGAAGCCGCATCAGCCACAGAAACAACAGCAGCGGCAGCAGAGGCAGTACCAGGCGCGGCAGAAGCACAGGGGTCAGGTGGAGAAGCAGGGCAGTGCGGAGCACTGCTGGTGCACGTGGACGTGCGGTTTGCGTGCAGCCTGCACGTGTGCTACCCTCTGCTGCTCAACGCACTGTCACAAGCAGTGCAGGGGGTTGAGCTTGCACCTTCGCCCAGCATGCAACCAGACTGGCTGAGCGAGGGGAACAAGGGAATCGGCGGAAATCAGAAGGCCGAGCTACAGCAGCAGCAGGGTGGTGCATCAGTGAAGTCTCCAGTGTGCATGTGCATGCCTCTGCTCACATGGACTGGACGCCCAGCAGGCTGCACCCTTGGCGTGACGTCCCTGCTGCTGCCAGTCGGTCCCGCTTGGCAGGACACACTCTCTGCTGCTATCGCTGCTGCTGCTACCAGTGCTGCAGAAGCTGCCTCTGCACAAGCCACAGCAAGACTGGTAGAAGCTGGTGCAGCCCCAGGCACACGACGAGGAGGAGGAGGAGCAAGGGGAGCAGAGATGGAGCAGGCGGATGTGGGAGAGGCAGCAGCTGGTGGCGCCAGCAGCACCACACGTGGCAGACATGGCAGGAGCGGCAGTAGCAGCAGCAGGGGCGGTGGCGGTGGCAGTGGCAGCAGCCTACGGCTGGGAGTGGGCATGGGAGGGATGCGGGGTTCTGCATCCGCTCTCTCTCTCTCTTCCCTCTGGCGCTGGTCAGGGCAGCAAGGGAGCGGCAGGAGGGGCAGCAGCGGGGTGTGGTCGCCTCAAGGGGCGTATGGGACGCAGGGGGACGGCAGCACGGGCAGCACTTGCAGCGGGGGAAGTGGGCGGGGCGGGTTCAGCTGGGGGAGAGGGGGGTTCTCAGTGTGGGAGGAGGAGGAGGTGAGGGTCGACCGGAGAGAAGGGGGAGGAAATGCGTTGGATTCACAGAAAGAGGATACACCTGCGGTAGCACCGGACACTGGTGTTGCGGAACGTGTGGCGCCAAATTCAACTGACACGGCTGCTGCTGCCGCCGCCTGTGCAGCTATTGCTGATGGTAATGCTGCTCCTGATAATGGCCCCTCCACACTTGCAGATGTTCCCGTCGCTGCTACTGTAGATACAGCAGCGTCCGCCAGTGTAAGTGCCGCTGCTGCTGTGCCTGCCAGTAGTGTACAGAGAAGAGGCCCGCTGTCCTTCCTAGGCAGGGGAAGTTCCAGCTGGACTTCCCGCACAGGCAATAGCTACGGCAACAGCATGAGCATCGGCAGCAGCAGCAGTAGAGGCTTCAGTGGTAGCTGGGGTGTTGGGAGTACCAGCAGCAAAAGCGGTGGCAGTAGCTGCGGCAGTCGCAGCAGCAGCAGTAGAGGCTTCAGTGGTAGCTGGGGTGTTGGGAGTACCAGCAGCAAAAGCGGTGGCAGTAGCTGCGGCAGTCGCAGCAGCAGCATTGGCGGTGCTGGTGGCGCGAGTGAGTTCGCATCTGCAAGCGATAGCAAGAACGGGGAGTGGGGGAAGGTGTCACAAGCTGCTGCTGAGACGGAAGCAATGAAAGTGACGCTTGGAGCAGCAGCAGCAGGCCTTGCAGCAACATCAGCAGCGTCAACAGCATCAGCGGCATCAGCAGTTGCACTCTCAGAACCAGCTTTGGCAGCGTCCGCGTCCCCTTGTGTGCTTGGCACTGGCCCGCAGGAGCTGCTAGCGCCATCTATAAACACCCCAGTGGGTGACGGGGGAGTGGATGCCAGGCAGGGCCGTGTGGGCGAGGGAGGTGTAGCGGCAGCAGGAGCTGCAGTGGGCGGAGGGCGTAGATGTAAGGATAGCACAAGGGAGGGTGGAAATGGGGATGCATCTTTACTGCAGCATGAGTCTGGTGAGAGTGGTGCTGCTGGTCCTGCAGTGTGGGTGAGTGGTGGTGTATGTGGAGGTAGACAGGCTGGGAGTGGGAAGGGAGGGGAAAAGGGAGGGGGAGAGGTGGGGGTGGGGGTTCCAGGAGCAGTCAGGTCGTCAGCAGATGCAGCCAAAGGGGTAGAATCAGCAGCGGATGGAGCAGCAGCAGTGGGAGGAGCAGCAGCAGGAGCAGTGACAGTAGGAGCAGCAGTGCTTGGTGCCTGTGATGCTGATGGGGGAAATGGAGCAACGGCGGGCAGGGAGGGCACCAGGAACGAACAGGGTGAGTGCGCATCCATGGGCAAAGGCAACCATCTCAAATCCTTGCGTGCTGCTGATTCGTGTGACAGTGCACACACGACTCTAATTTCCGTGTGACAGTGCACACACAACTCTAATTTCCTCACTCTCCCTGCTGCATGTGGCTCGTGGACCCTGCAATCCCACTGCATTTAGTTGCATCCCACTTATCCTATTTGAGAGGCAGGAACATGTGTGGGGCGGAAAGGGATTGCTACAGGTTGCTTTGCTTCTGCTTGCTGCTCGTCTGCTGCTGTTGCTCTTGCGTCTGCTAATGCTGCTGCTGCAGCTGCAATTCACTGGCGCTATCACTCCCATGCCTTAGTTTTCATCAATCCTGCTGCCTCCCAAATCCCCCCTCTCCCCCCCCTTCCGCATTCCTCCCTCACTTCAATTCCTCCCTCTCCCCATCCATCTTCTCCCTCTCCGCCTTCCCACCCACCCCCTCCCTCCTCCCCTTCCCCCACTGCAGGTCTCGTGCAGCTGCTGCTGTCAGAGCGCGGCCTCATGAGGGAGCAGCTGGGCCACTTCCTCCTCGACCCTCTGCGCCTCGACCTCGGCCCGCTCATCGCAACGGGTGCCTCGGGGGAGGTGCGCCGAGGCAGGTATGCTGGCGAGCCCGTGGCTGTGAAGATTCTCAAGGGGGAGATGAGGAGAGATGGGGCCGTGGCAGGGATTGGGGGTGGGGTGGGAGGAGGAGGGGTTACAGGTGTGGGTGGTGGACGGGGAGGAGGGAGAGGGAGGGGAAGTCGAAAGTGGGGAGCCGGTGCAGCAGCAGCTGCTACCGTCGCTCCTCCTTCGACTACCACTGCTGCTGCTGCTGCGTCAGTTGGTGCTGGCAGTCGTTCCGAGATCGCCATCTGTTCAAGCACCAGCATCACCGGCAGCAGTGGTGGCGGAGCTGCCGGCAGCAGTGGTGGCGGAGCTGCCGGCAGCAGCGGTGCGACAGCGCGGGCAGAATTCCGGAGAGAAGTGATGGCGATGGTGTCGTGTGGGCAGCGGTGCCCACAGCTGCTGCGCTTCTACGGCGTGTGTGTGGACGTGCGGCACCGCATGTGCATCGTCACCAAGCTCATGCCGGGCGGCACTCTGCACGACCTGCTGAGGAGGCGCAATGGTGTGGGCCTGCCGCTGCTGCAGCTGCTGCGCGTGGCGTTGGACATTGCTTTGGGGATGCGGTTTCTCCACCGCCATGGAATCATTCACCGGTGAGCGGGAATGATGAATGGGCGTGAGTGAGGTCTGTGTGGTGGGTTGGAGAGGGGAGCATGGGAATAAGTGGGTGGGTGTCTGATCTTGGCTGGGTTGACTTTTGAGTCGACTCAAAAGTCAACGGGGAGCATGGGAATAAGTGGGTGGGTGTCTGGTCTTGGCTGGGGTCATGCGTGGTTTGCTCGGGCAAGAATTTGTTTCCTGATCTTGTGGCTCCTGGCTCATCAATGACTTCCGTTCCCCCTCCCCAACCATTACCCGTTCCACCCCACGTCATCCCTGATCCCAGCTTCCGCTTCCCCACTCTCTCCACTCCTCTTACCCTCCTCCCTCTTCTCTCACACATCGCCCAGTCCTACAACCAATCCTGCTATCTCCACCACTCCCATACCCCCCCCCCCCTTTCTCCAGTGACCTCAAGATGGCCAATGTGTTACTGGACGAGCACGGTCGGGCAGTGGTGGGGGACTTTGGAGTGGCGCGGCTGGTGGGAGACGGAGCGGAGATGACCAAGGAGGTGGGCACATACCGCTGGATGGCCCCTGAGGCCTTCGGCACCACGGGGCACTGGTCCGTCACCCCTCGCAGCGACGTGTACAGCTTCGGAATTGTGTTATGGGAGCTGCTGACTGCGCGGTTACCCTACGAGAGTTACTCGCCGCTCCAGGCTGCGGTGGCGGTGGCGCTGAATGGGCTGCGGCCGGCGATACCGGCGGGGTGCCCTGAGGGGCTGAGGCGGCTGATTGAGGCATGCTGGGCCAGGGACCCTGCAGAGAGGCCTGACTCAGAGGATGTAGTGCGTGTGGTGCGAGGTTTGAGGCGGGAGTTGATGGGGGAAGAGAGTGTGGAGGACGAAGAGGAGACTAGTGGGGGGAATGGGGAGCATGTTGTGAGTGGTGGAAGATGAATGGAGCCATGATGCATCTGAGAGGGAGCAAAAGTAGGATGGGGAAGGCAGGTAGGTGATACAATACCAAGCGTACCAATTTGGATTCAATCGATGCTAACACAAAGTGGGTTCTCTGCTGAAACTTTTCAAGAATGCGTTATACTGGCAATAATCCCTGTCAGCACCTGCAGAAATGCAAAATTTGACTTACGTGCGCTCCCGTGGCAATTTCGCCAAGCGAGCCAGGGGGGATTTTGCCAGGCACGTCAGTGGCGATTGCTTTAGGCGCGTTAGTGGCGATTTCACTAAAAAAAACTAGGATTCAGTGGGTGCGTTTGTACGAAGGTTGACAGAATTTGGGGTGGGCTTCTATTTGGCAACCAGCTATAAGCATTGTTGGGCTGAGAATAGCCTAAGCATCTTTTAGAGTTTAGTCTCACTGTTGTTATTGCTGCGGAAGTCTTGAATGCCTGTACTGGTCGAATGTGAGAATAAGAATTCATAATAAAGAAAAGACACAAGAGATTTAGGAAGTACCCATTCGAGAATGTAACTTTTCATGAAACGGGCTAAGATATCGAGTCGATACTACCGTATTCTCCCGGACATAACACCCGGGGGTATTATGATAACCACAGAGAAAAAAGGGGGGGGGTCCTCTCAACGGAAAATCCTATATAATACCGGGGTGGTTACATATGGCATAATCTAGTGTAAGAGTACTTTTTAATTAGACAATTTGGGTGTTTCAATGGTCGTTTTAACATCACCGTTTGAGGCGAGAATGTGAGTTTCACCTCTCGGGCCACTTGCAGCGAAAGATTCGCCAGCGTGGCGACAGCGAGATTGTGGGGACGGGGGAAATGTCTACTTGCAGTGAAAGATTCGCCAGCGTGGCGACAGCGAGATTGTGGGAGGGGGGAAATGTCGGCAGATTCTAAGTGAAAGTATATGCGAAATTTCATCTAGGAAGCATCCTCTCGATATTCTCCCCTAAGGAATCCGACTCGATAACAGCTATAATAGGAATCTGTAAGAAAAGGGGGGTGTTATAGAAAATCATTCAAAAAGGGGGGGTATAGTGCAAACGAGGTCGGCTATAGCACCCCCCCCGCATAAGCTACCCGGGGGTGTACTATTACGGGGGGTGTTTTGTCCGGGAGAATACGGTATAAAGCGATATGATACCGCGTCACGAGAACGGTCGCGAGACTGTTCGCACTACTATCTGTTACTCACGCGAAAAAACACCTGCTACAGTAATACTGTCAATGTTATTACGATATCTGTTGTAGGCTGTACTGATGTGCTCCTTAGTGAGTACAACTTAGTGTGGGTTTCATATTTGTACTGCCTTGCTTTCCTAGTCTCATCATTCCACTACGCATCACTTTTAAGATAGTATCATGCGTACGGTAGGTACGCTCCTAGCCTAGCCTAGCCCGCCCGTGCTCCGTTGCCTAGCCTAGCCTAGCCTTGTCCGCCCGTGCTCCGTTGCCTAGCCTAGCCTAGCCTAGCCTAGTACCGCTCCAACGCTCCGTAGTCGCTCCGTCGCTCCGTAATCTCCTAGCCTACATAACACGTGCCATCCAGCAGAGAAACACATGCCCGTGCTCTGCCTTAGGCTGCCCCGTTCTCTGCCTTAGGCTGCCCCGTTTTCTGCCTTAGGCTGCCCTGTTCTCTGCCTTAGGCAGCCTCGCGCTCTGCCTTAGGCTGCCTTAGGCTGACGCGCACCGCCTTAGGCGGCCACGCACTACCTTAGCCAGCGCGCCCCGCAGGCGGTGCGCCCCGTAGGCCGCGTGCCCCGCAGGTAGCGCGCCCCGCAGGTATCGCGCCCCGCAGGTAACACGCCCCGCAGGTAGCGCGCCCCTAGGCAGCGCGCCGCGTGGGTAGCGCGCCCCGCAGGCAGCGCGCCCCGCGGGTAGAGCGCCCCGCAGCGATTGGCATCCTGTTGGCAGAGCGCCCCGCAGCGATTTAGCGCCAGAAAATAAATAGTTTAATTAAACCTAAAAAAAAAAAAAATAGGGTGGGGACCTGCAACGACAGCCCACGTTCCTACTTGCCGGACGACCTGCACAGTTGCCTACATCTCGCAACCGTCATTACTGCAGCCCCTACTGCCGCACGTACTTTCCATTGCCAGTGGCTCTACTAGCGGCAGCCGACAGCCGCACGTACAGTCTCTAGCTCTGGCCGTTCCTACCTCCAGCCGGCCCTAGCGCGCCATTTCTAGCTCCAGCCAGTTGTGCTCCAGCCGTTCTAGCTCCAGTCGTTCTCGCTCCAGCCGTTTCAGCTCCAGCCGTTCTAGCTCCAGCCGTTCTCGCTCCTCGCTCCTAGCTCAGTTTGCTCCGTGCTCCGGCCGTTCCTCGCCTAGTTTCACCTTACGCTCCTAGCTCAGTTTGCTCCGTGCTCCGGCCGTTCTTTGCCTAGTTTCATCTGGCGCTCCTAGCACAGTTTGCTCCGTGCTCTAGCTGTTCCTCGCCTAGTTTCACCTAGCGCTCCTTGCTCCGTTTCCTCCGTGCTCCAGCCGTTCCTCGCCTAGTTTCACCTGGCGCTTCTAGCTTTGTTTGCTCCGTGCTCCAGCAGTTACTCGCCTAGTTTCACCTGGCGCTCCTAGTTGTTCTTGTTTTTCAATGCAGCTGTCCCTAGCTCCTGTCGCTCCTAGCCTGCCGCTCCTGCACCCCGCTAGCCTTTATCATGGCGTCCACTAGGGTTCTCCAGCAGCAAGGACAGCAGCAGCGGTCGGTTCAGCAGCTGTGGCGCCCTCAGCAGCCGCGGGGGCCTGGTGGTTCGGGTAGCGTTGGCTGTAGCAGCGGCCCAGCCAACTGGAGGGCTCGTCGCGGTGGCCGCGACGTCGGCCCCTGCTAGTACCGGATACTAACCGGCCCTGGTGCTGGCACTACCTACTGGCGTCCTGAACACTCTGCACAGCGCTAATACAATCGCCTCAACGACCTCTACCCTGAGCGTTTTGGGCCTGAGACAGCTCCCCCGATCTGGCCCGGTCTGTTTCGTAGTGGTTACCCTGTGTCTGATGTATCCATGGATGATGTCTATTCTGTCATGTATGGATCTCTAGGCTTGCCTGTACCTAGCTTAGGACCTTTGCCTGTTGCTAGTGTAGGTACTTGTGCTTTTAGTGTAGGTGCTTGTGTAATCACTAGCCCAGCCGTGACGACTGCTGTTGTGTCGCTCTCCTTCACGCTGGACTTTGGCGCATCTCAGTGCTCATCACGAAGACGCCCTGGTAGCACACGTCGTAGTCCCTCCTCAGAATTGTCTTCAAAGCATAACAGTGACTGCTATTGTTGGGGAAGTAGGTCACTCCAAGCGCCCGACACCTGCATAGCAATAGTTTCATGGCCAGCTTGGCGTACACCTGCATGAGCGCATTGACACTCAAGGGAGACATAAGGGGTGGCATGAGGTTGGAACAACCCTACATTATTGCAAAAGCCGTGAGAACAAGGAGCTGCCAAGGTTTAAGATATCAACCCCCACGAGCATACGCGCGGTGCTCGCCAGCCCTACCCACATGCCCGCGCCTTCGTGCACGGAACTACGCTCACATGAATCCGCTCGGGATCAGGGAGGCCGCTCTTCCGGACGCGGCTCTGACAGTCAGGATCAAAGTCAACGACCACCGAGATGTGGTCGTCACCACGGTTCCGCTTCAGCCTGCGGCCGTTTTTGGCACCGTTATCTCGTGCTCTGCGGGCGGGGGGGTGTTGAAATAGGGTAGTGGATATTATACATCAAAACTCATAGATGCATGGTGCCCAGCCCCTGCAACCGTCATACAAGTACAATACGTACCTGTCTTCGCTCATTATATGTCCCGGGCGTGGTGCAGTGACCGGCTCAAGTGCGTTTTCCGTGACCACACCACTGTCACACCTCTTTTGGCTCCAGTCCCAGTTGCCCTGGCTGATCCTATTTCAGGACCAGCAGTTGCTCGCAGCTTGACCACTCTCCCGTCATCAAGAGCAGTCCTTCCGCTATCTGTCTCTCCGGCCTGTCCAGCTGTAGCTGCTCTGCTAGCCGTTTCCCTATCCTATCAGCTCTGGATGTGCGCTCGTGTCAATGATAGCCTGCTTCACCGATAGACCACCCACTGTGATATAGCCCTTCTCCACCACAAGCACTGACGCTGCACAGCTGAGCCTCTCCAATGGGTGACGCCGGGGTGGCATCCCTTCCCTGACATCTCTCGCTCGCCACCTTGGCCCACACTCCTGTTGCTCTTCAACCTGCTGCCGCAGGTAACTCTCCCTCGGCCTCAGGCCCAATTCGTCTCTTTCCCTGGCAGGCCTGGCCATCAGGCAGAATTCTCCTTCACTCCCTTCCTCCTCCTCTTCTTCCCTCGCTACCATGGCCGGCCTCCTTTCTGTTCCTCTTTCTCGCTCCTCTAACTAAGCTCGCAGCCTCTCGATTTCTGCCGGCATCTCCGCCATCTCTCCCCTTTCCTTGGTGTCCCCCCGACGCGAGTAGCAGTCCCTCTCTTCGTGACCCTTCCGTCCGCACTTCTCGCCCGTGGGCGCCTCCGGGCATTCCCTCCTTAAGTGATCCTCCTAGCCACAGATGGAGCACGCTAGGGGGTTGCGACAGTCGCGCCTCAGGTGACCGCCCTTGCCGCAGTTGTGACACTTCCGCACATCCGCTGGGCCTCTTGGCGGCCGCTCGTACTCCACTTGGTTGGCGCTCCATGTTGGCCTCCGCCTATCCGCTGATCTCTCTCCCGTCCGTTCCACTTCAAACAACCGTCTGCCGGTTTCCACCCTTTTTGCCGTCTCGTACGCGACCCTCATCGTCGCAGCTACCCCCATCTCGAAGATCTTCATCTGCACGTCCCGTTGGAGCTCGTAGTTCAGGCCGTTTAGGAACTTGCTAACGAGACGCCCTTGGTGCACGCAATTCATATCCTCCCCCAGCTCCACCAGCCGCCCGTAATATGCCAGGAGAGACTCTCCTATTCTCCGTTTGAAGTCTGGAATTTAACGATGTCAGAATATTATGTT